ATATGCGCGCTCTGTTGCAGGCAGCGTTCCAATTTGGGACAGTTCGACCCCTTACCAGTTCGAACTTGTAACAGTTCGATTCTGTCCGCGTTCTGTTCTGGTAAGTGTGCGAAAAAATGACTGTTCTGAATTGAATCAGTTCGATTTTAGGTCTGTTCGATTTTGAAAACGTTCGAATTCGTCGTACCCCCGGAGACTTGCAAACTCCAAAAGCATCGCCAAGATACGCGTTGCGAGACCAATATAGTAAACTTTCGATGAACCTTTAAAAACCATACTTTCGTACTCTGTATAAACCGAAAACATTACTGTTTTCTAACAGAAAAAACAGAAATTGCACATTTGAAACGCGATTTCAAGGCACGCTCATGTAGTCGGGGCGAGCTCAGCGCAAGCTAATTTGTTCAGACATTCCAGTATTGAAGACGTTTCAGTACCTCGATTTGTGTGGCACATTCTTCGATTCCGTCTTCACTTCCTTCGCTTTGGTTTTCAGGAGTTTCTTCTCGCTGCTCAACTTTTAATTGCAGTCGGCAGTCCGACAAATGCGAGATGAATTCTCGCCGACTGTATTTTGGATGGTCTGCCAGGGATGCACCAAATCGTTTCAGATTTGATGCGAATCCATATGAACGACCACTATCGTTGGTATCTGGTGGAATATCCATACCCTGAAACAAAAATTTGAATTTAAAAATTTCCGAACGCAATAAAAGTGTTCAAGCGACGCAATATGGTAAAATAACCGGCTAAATAGATTCAGCAACCAGTCCTTAACATATTTCCAAAAAACTGGGTTATTTCATGAACTATAACCAAAAATAATGAGAAAATAGAAATGTTTGACATAGAAATGCGTTGGAAAAGGAGAAAAGAGTGGGGGAAATGGCCGTGCTGTTTAGATGGAAAAGAGACGCAGGCAGGAGAATAAGAGGCGCTGACTTGGATACATCGCATGTAAGCCAGTGTCTCGTCAGAACCAAGAAATATGAAGATCTGTGACATCTCATTCCCAATGTTAGATAATTTTGAGGGGAAAGTAAAAGGCTCCTGGATTATTGAAGGACTAGAAGGATATGTGGACGATCTTAGTTGGTAGCTCAACTAGGCACAAAGATTCTAAAGTATTTGAAGGTTTAACTTGTACTTTCTGGTAAATCGTTCTTTCAGGTAAGTGCCAGAAGACTAATATGTAGATCAAGAACTCGTTTCAAAAACAACTTTTAAAACCACTTGATGACCAATGCCGCATCAGAGCCTATGTGAATTTGAAAAGAAGAAATCGCATTGCAATCTTAGATACCTATTTGATTTCGTTATATTCTAAAAGAAACTTGCGAATAGTTGGAAGGTTTTTTATAAGTCGAATTTGGAATTACGGTTTGCAAATTAGAACATATTTGAACATTGGACAGATAATTTCGAGAGTACAACAGTTCGGGGGTCAAGGTGGTAGAAAGTGATTTAGAGTCATAAACGTCGTATTTTTATATTTTTACCCCCAAATTGAGAATTTGGTACCCCTGAGTTGCTTCGTACCCCAATGACCCCAAAAGTTGTGTACCCTTTGAATTAGTTGCCTGGCACACGACTTAAATAGAAATTGGGAACTCGGCTGCACCGGGGAGAAATCGAACTATCAAAAGAAAACTTCGCAAAACCCAGAATGCCCGGTTACAGTACCATGAGGCTGTGTGGTTAGCGATAGAGCGCAACTGCAGCTAGGCTAATTACAGTACTGAAGCAAGACTCTCTGGAAATGAGAGAATCAATAACAGATGTGTTGAATCGAATAGAAGAAAGTAAACTATCTATCTTGGCAAAAACTTTTTGAGTAAAAAAAACATTTTTGCTTGTGCAGTTCCTAACAAAAACTTAGATAGTTTCAGAGTTAAGGAAACATTTGTTTATCGGGTTAACATGTCAACAAATCTGAGACAATATCAGTCATAAGGCCAGGATGTTTCTCTCTCTGTACTAGGACATTCAGCTTTCTAAAATTTAGAAGAAGCTGGGACGAGTTCCATAGGACTCAAGTATAAGATCCAAAACAAATGGGATTACATGTCCCATCAACTGCCTGACAACTATCTCAATCCTCTATGACGTGGCACAAGTCATAGACAGGCAACACATTATAAGTATAGCAAAAACACTGCTGATAAGGAAACATCTAGCAGTCATCATACTGCGCTCAGCTATTCCATTTTTTTCTATTGTCACCGTCCTAATTTGCCAGAATGAAAAATTCCGAAACTCTACCACTAATTACTAGAAAAGCGCCAGTGAAGTACTATCATAATGATAATGTTTCACGATTTGAGAGAAGGAGAAGAGAGAAAAGCAAAAAGGAGGTTTGTTGAATTTGTTTCCTATTGAATCAATGGAGTGGTTTTCTCAGGGTTTGTTCTAGAATGAGCAACATAAGAACAAAGTTTTAGATCATAGTTGATTAGAGTCCATACAACAACCCTAGATATGAAAATCATCATAAAAGTAATGAGATGTTCAACCAGACAACAACCAATCATAACTAAGTAAACCAATACTACTACAAAGCCACCAAAAAACGCAGCTAATTTCAAAATTCAGTTGAAAAATTCGTTTTTTGAAAAAAGTACTATTTCCTCTTTTTTAATACCATCAACATTAAAAGTTATGAAAAAAGTTAAACTCGAGCTGTTGAACGGTATTTCAATAGAGCGAAATTGTTACCAAAGATGCACGGTGTTTTTTCGGAACGTCTTGTAAATGCGCTCAAAAGCGAATTACCGTAATACTACAGTAAAATTAGCTTCGGTCTCAACGCGAACTCAGCGGTGCCTGCATACCATAGGGGAAAGCGCGGAAAAACCAATATTCAAAAACTTTCCGGAAAACTCCGTGATCCAAGACGACCTAAATGGCTGGACCACTGAAAAACAACAGAAAAGCTTGAAAATAATTTAACTAATAGTCTTATCTGCAATAGTCAAAGTAGCCCGTTAACCATCTAAAAAATTACTATAAACTACAAGTTTTCTAACCAAATACAAACTATATTTGAAAATCTGAAAAAAACAAGCGAAACTCTGCTTTTGAGTGAAATTTAGTTGCGGTAACTTATAGGTCAAAACTTTAAAACAATTATTGATTAATTTCAGCTTAAATAATTCTGAAAATCAATAATTGAATTATTGCGAAATTTCAGACAGTAAAAATCTGAAATTATTAGCGCGCGCGCGCTCAGAAGCACTTTTTCGGCAGTACGAAACCAGACCGTGATGCGAAAAAGAGAGTGAAATCGGGGCGAGACCCGCAGGACGCTTCTATTTTTTCCTGGTGAAGGAAAACTCAATACGAATGAGTCATAAAACTACTGAAAAGAACAAAAGGCATTTCATCGATAGGAACAGATAATTATTCGATTCATAGGAGATAAATATCCGGGTGAAACAAAAACTGAAACCGCCGAAAGATTTAGTCAACTGTTTTGTTATTTATTTTTTGTTTTCTCAGTATTAAAAGAAAAAAAGAGAGAAGAACGAATAAAGTGTGTGTGTGGAGTAGCCAGCAAACAACAAAACAATTGACTTATCGATTGAAAATTTATCTGAAATCATTTGAGCCAGAATCTTCTAGAACAAAAAGATAGAATTCGTCGAAGGGAAAAAAAGGTTAGAAACGGACAAATGGCACTGCAGTTATAATAGACGAGGCGGTCACACTTTCAAGGGGGAGAGAGGAAAAAAGAGAATACCGCCCGTTTTTTTCTAAACTTCAGATTTGTTTTTTCAATGAGTAGAAGAGAGATTTAGTTAAGATAATCTGTATATGGAGTTAGATAGATACTTCAAAGAGATGATAATCTAATGCACCTGGAGAGCAGAAATAATAAAAAAGCAAGAATGTTTGCATAAATTTGAAAACTGTTCTTTTCAAAAAGTTGAAACCTTCAGATTTTCTGATCAGGGCACAGTTCTGTAAAAACTACGGTAAAACCTGTAATAGAATGGCCTCCCCCCCCCCCCCCCCCTAACTTTCAGCTCTGAGTCAATTTATCTCATTTACTGTCAGGGATATAAAAAATAGGCAATTGATACATTTTTTATCCTAATATTACCAACATTTTATCAGGTGACAATTTTTTTGATATCTTGCATGGAATCTAAGGATAATTAGCTTAAGCTTTAAATTGTGAGGGCCTTTCTATTACAGGTTTTGCGGTAAACTGTGATTTGATCTTTCTGGGGGAAAATTAGTGAGCTACTGTTAAGTGCATTTTTTTTTCATTTCTCTAATTGGCTGTTTTTATTTGAGTTTGACTGGAGCCTCTTCCTCTTCATAAATCATCTCTAATATTATCGCAACCATATTTTTTGGAATTTACATACAAAAATTCTATATGTACTGGGTCAACAGATTCCTTTCCTTTTGGGCACGTATCATCGACTTGTGAAAAACACGTAGCGATTTTTTGTTATCAGTTTACTGTGTTATCAACCTGACATATATTATTTTTCTATTTCAGTACTACTCTCGACTCGACCATCTAAATGAACTATACGAGGAAGATGATAAACTTATGGAAGGGGTCACTCAACCAGAAGAGGTAATTTTGGAATATAGGAGATACTTGAACATTGGTTTTCAGAACGAAAAATCGACAGATCGAATTCTGGCGAACCTGTCAATTGCTCTCAACCTGACACTTCTTTTCACAAATCTTTTAGCTTCAATTTTATCTGGAAGTTTATCTATTGTTAGTACATTTGTTGATTCATTGATGGATGTCACAAGTGGTTTGATCATTGGAATATGTCTGAAACTTATCAAAAACACGAACATGTTCAATTATCCAAGAGGAAGGGCACGGTAGGAAAAAGATGAAAGAATTTTGAAGCCAACATATGCAATTACAGACTAGAACTAGTTGGTGTTATAATTTGTTCCATACTTATGGGAATTGCCAACACTCTTCTCGTCGTTGAGTCGATTCGTTCGATTTTGAGTGGAAATGTAAATCTATATATATATAGAATTAGGAAATTAAAGAATTTCAGATAAATCCTGAAATGGATATTCCAACACTATCTATAATGCTAGGAGCGGCAGCAGTTAAAATAATTCTTTGCCTGGTATGCTATCGTCGTGGATCTAGTTCTTCCATTGTTCTTGCTATGGATATGAGAAACGATATTGCCACCACGATCGTAGCAATTGTATGTGCAACAATTGGAGATCGATATTGGCCATATGCAGATCCATTGGGAGCAATTCTAGTTTGGTAAGTTTAGAATGGAATTTAGGAACTTTCTGACATTTTCCAGCGGAGTAATTGCGACATCTTGGTATGGTCATGCATTGGAACATGTTCCTCACCTAGTTGGCAAAAGAGCTGAAGGTGAGAGTCTGTCAAGGATTCTAAAAATTGTCATCGAGCACGACCCCCGGATAAAGTAAGTTTCTTTTTCTTGTTTTTGAAGCTTTGGAAACTCAATAAAACCATAAATCCATTTCAAACTGACAGTTTTTCATTTTGAAACGATGTCTTTTTTTCTTCTTTTGACATAAAAACTACCACCTCTTCAGGTACGTGGATCATGTGATGGTTTACCACACAGCTCTCGAAGCTCTAGCAGAAGTACACATTGTGTTGGACGAGAATCTTCCCTTGAGAGTAACACATGACATTGCTCAAGGTTTGGAACAGAAACTGATGCGTTTGAACTTTGTTGAAAGATGTTTTGTACATTGTGATTATGAGTGTGATGGAGATAAGTAGATATTTCCAAATAAACTATTTATTGAGATAAAACCCGAATTTACGCCCTGATTTGAACTATTACAAAATAAGCTAATGCCCAAATTTATGTCCAGTGTACTGATCAGCAGAAACTGGAAGACCAAAATATTTCCATTGACTCCAGAAACAGAAAATGAGAAGAAGTGAACCGATGAGATCTCCGAGGGCAGTTAAAAATGGAATTGCAGAATTATCTGGATCAATTCTCATTATCCACATTGCACGGACCAAAATTTGACAAATGTAGAGAAGGATTGTTACCTGGAAGTTAATACATATTAGACATTAGAAGAAGCCCATCCAGACAGTCAACTTTGAGCTCAATTATCTCGATTACTGTAACAGATATCAAAATTATGTAAACTGATCAAATGTTGGCGATAATTTGATAAATAATTTAACAGTTGACCACTTTTTGATATCTTTTACAGGAATCAAGATGGCTTTCTATTAGACGAAATGCCTGAAATGATTACCTGAATTGCACAAACTAGAACAAATGAAATGGTAAATGGGAAAGTGTTGTGGAAACCAACGCCAAATAGAAAAATGATAAAAATGAAGAGGATATTGGATGGAATGGAAATCCCAAGAAGGATTTGGGCTGCTGATGCGTCTTCGTCTGAAGTAGTGCTTCAAAGTGTTCTAAACTCTCGAGGGACTTACTTTTTCCAAAGAACGCTCTCCACGGGTTGATATAATGCGAAAGTGGTCTCACTTCAATTTCTCGATTTTTTCTTGCTCTATGCAATTGTGTGGAGATTCTGCTGGCTTGAACTGCAACCAAATTGCCTCCAAGACCATTGATAAGTGGTTGGAATGCTGCCAGTGGTGGATAAGTCTGCATAGACTTCTTTAGAACAAGTCCACTAAACGTGGTTATCATCATTGCACATAGTATCGGCCACCATCCATTTTTCAACACCTGAAACTCTATTTTTTACGAATTACCGTAAAGCCTTAATTATCTCAACTCCTATACAAGATATCAAAAATCAACTGGCAAAATGTTTGTGAGAATATGATAAACGATTCATCAGTCGACAACTTTTTTATATCTTTAACAGGAAACGAGATTAAATGACTCAAAATTAAAAACTACGGAGCCCTTCTTTGTATTACAAGTCTTCGACTCTTTCAATTACCTCCAAAGTGAACCTATCTTCCGCTGCAATAACAGCTCCAACAATTGCGATGGCGTAAAAAAAGAGCAAAATGACAATAAGTAATGTGATATGTAAGTCCCGCATGTGACATACTAAAGTGCCCACACTCAACTGAAAAATTGATTGCTCATTTCCGTGTTCTCCGTTCCACATACCAAGATGTAAAGAGTGGAAACGTCACCAAGAGATGCTGCAACAGGAGTGGAGATGTTATCCGGATTCAGTTTCCAATGACGAGCAGCGATTACAACAGCGACCATTAGAAGAGAGAGTATCAGTGAAGCTGAGGATGCAGTCACAACTGCTGATAGTAGAAGGCAGAGAGTGTCCTCGAATGTGATCTGAAATTTAAAAAATTTATTAATTGAGAAATACTTTTCAAAAAAATATGAATGAAGAAATAATTACCGGTTGTTCTCCTACTAATAAAACTGGAATCACAGCTAGAGATGAAACAGCAATAGCCTGACATTGGATAAGAGCCATGTTGGATAGAGCCACTTTGATTTTGTCTTTCCTAGTTTCCATAAACCCTAGGTTCGCCTGAAATTGAATTTTGGTATTTAAAGTTTTAAAAGATTAAAACATACCAAGGTTGACAATCGAGATGAAAGTGTCATTTCAAGATTTCCCTTCAAGCCTACTAGAGTTGGAACCATGATAACTGCATCTGGAAGTTTTGAAAAGAACTCTGAGCCTTCTGCAGATTCAAGCATAATTCCTGCTAGAATTAGACCAAGTCCCGCGAAAAGGAATGGGATCAGAGCCTGAATGATTTCGTTTTTTAAAATCTACAGTAACTTTTCTTGATCACCTCAGCCATAAACTGCTTCTTGCTTTCCTTCTCGGCGACATTGAAGACGTGTGTTGGTTTCGACACATTCATCTTTTGAATCGTCACTGCGATTGGAGCGAAAATCCAATTCTCAACTATAACATTTGATAACGTATCACCCGTATTGTTGTTGTTATTTCCCTCTACGATTCTGAAAGTAAAAGTTTCTGGCTCAACAGTAATATTTGATGATTGTCCCATTAACTTTAACATCAAAACAATTTCAAAAGAACTCGAGAAGCAAAAAATATTATTATGCTGGTGTGCAGAAATCGGAGCTGTAGAAGAGAGACGCCGGTGGTCGTGGCCGAAGGTCCCACAACGAAAACTACAGTAACCTAAAAATAATTTGATTTTCCGGGTTTATTATATCGATTTTCGTGCGTTTTCAGTCAATTATTACACTATCAAAAATTTTCACTATCGACTTTTTTGGGAAAAAAATAACAGAAAACTCGCCGAAAATCAGTGAAAATCGAGAAAAAAAATCCGGAAAAAATATATTACTAGGTTACAGTAGTAGGTATCTTCTATAGCTCCGATTTTTTCTACCAGAATAATAGTTTCAATTACGACTTACTTTTACAAATTTTTCTCCTCGCTATTTTCTTTGTTGATAACACATTTTGGAATAAGTTTAAGATAAATGTTGAAAATTATGATTTTTTTAATTTAAAATTTTTTAGTATTTTTTTATTCATTTTCTCAAGCTTTACTTTCCTCTCCCGCCGTTCTCACACACCTCATTTTCACCCTAACGGTTAAGCATAGTAGCGCGCGTAAGTCGCGAGATGTCGGCTGCTTGAAAACTCTCTAGTTTATAATTTTCCTCGCTTCATGGCGCTTTCAGTGGTCCGATCCGCTCGGACCACCATTCCGCTGATACCCCCGGTTTCTTGTTCACGCGGAACAAACACCCTCGGTGATTGCCAATTCGTGCCTTATTTTCGCCCCGTGAAAAGTTGAAACCCTTCCGAACCCAATTAGTCCGGTGCAGTGGGATGGTGCAGGAGCAGCACTTGACCACACTTTTTGACTTTTTTGTTGTGATTAATTGATTAATATGGTATCATGATTGAGATTTTAATCTGATTTCTTCTTATTTTCCCATCGGATTTCGTGAATCTATTTAATTTAGCCAAACTTCACAGGTAAAATGCGAACGGGTCCGTTACGGACGCTTCGCGTTTGCGCGCGGTTGAAATAGGAACCGCATACGGACCGCACGCGACCCGTTTTCAGAAAACCACAGCACATTATTTCGTATTTCTACATATTCTATCCGTTTGCGAACTCCGTATCCGATCCGATTGCGAATGATAAACAAACGGATCCGTTCGCGAACTTATACTTTTGTCTGATTCGCGAATGGATCCGTTTGTCCATCATTCGCAATCGGATCGGATACGGAGTTCGCGAACGGACAGAATACGGAGGAATACGGAATAATGTGCTGTGGTTTTCTGAAAACGCGTCGTGTGCGGTCCGTATACGGTTCCTATTTCAACCGCGCGCGAACGCTGAGCGTCCGTAACGGATTGTTCGCAAATCACCTGTGTTAGAGAAACAGTTCTTCCACCACTGATTTTTAATTTGTATTGTATTGTATTGTATTTATTACGTTTAAAAAAATGTGGATGAAAGAATGAAAAGAAAAAAAAGGAGAGGGAGGGGGGGGGGTGACATAGAAAAACGGGAAAAAAACTAATGCTACTTATAATAATCAATCCGGGGAACAAAAATCAAATCAAATAACGTCTGTCGGTGAGCATCTTCAAACTCCATTTTTTGTGGAATTTACCATTTTACTGAGCACTCTATTTGTGAAAAAGTTTCTTTTAACTTTAGTTTTAGGAACCTTCCAGAAGTATGTGCGTTGGCTACGGGTTTTTTTTGCATTTATCTTAAAATAAGAACTGTTATCTATATCTATCCGACCTGCGATCATTTTTCTAAAAAAACTTAGCATAGTACTTATCCCTTCTATTCTTCAGAATTTCCAAATTATACGTTTCCAATTAATTTTAAAAAACTAACCGGAAAAGGGAGGAAACAATAGGAGACGCAGATCGTAAAGTAAATGATGGAAGAGGAGAGGAAAAATGAAAAAAAAAAGAAGAGGAAGAATGGTTTTCCTCCCTTTTACACACCGAAAAACGACAAAAACTAATACGGCGTCGCTGTTATCGCGGTTGTGTGTGCCTGTCCTCGATTTTATATGGATTTTCAACAATAATTCAAAATGTTTCAGGTTGTAAATTACGATTGGCTACCACTCACATTTTATATAATAGTGTCATTTTTGGGGTAGTTCCTGACAGTAAAAGATAGAAGAGAAAGGATTAGAGACTCTTTGAAGAAAGGAACTTCTGTAGAAGTTTTGCCATCAAATAAGAAAAGGATATCTGAAGTTCCGGGTTCAATGGTTCCAAACAAAACGAAAAGTAAACAAAAACGCACAAAGATTGAATGAAGCCTATTAGCTCTCTAAGTTGTCTCGATTGCTTTTGTGTTTTGAACTTTGTGAAGATTGATTTTCAGTTTTTTTTTCTGGTTCTCAATTAAGTTTCGAACCTGAATTTATACCCGATTCGGTTAATTTTCAAACCCTTATCACCGTATTTTCTCTAATAGAAGCCCACCCTAACCATCAACTTTCAGCGCAATTATCTTGATTCCTGTGAAAGATATCAAAATATTGTCAACTGATAAATTATTGATGATAATAATATTATTATGATAATTAATGTATCAGTGGACATTTTTTTGATATCTTCAAAAGGGACCGAGATGATTGGGCTGAAAATTGACAGCTTAAGTGGGCAAAACATCGGAGTTGTGGAAGAGAAACGTCGGTGGCCATGGCCGAAGGTCCCACAACGAAAACTACAGTAACCTAAAATATTTTTATTTTCAGGAATAATTTTCTCGTTTTTCGCTGCTTTTCTTAAGTTTTCTGTTAATTCTTCGCAGAAAGAAAAATTGACTGGAAACGCACGAAAATTGAGATAACAATTAGTTTTAGGTTACGGTAGTTGTCGTTGTGGGACCTTCGGCCACGGTCTCCGTAGTTTCTGTTCCACCTCTCCAATTTTTGTGTACCAGAGTAATATCTAAGATTCTCTAATGTTAGCATACAGAAATCCAAAAATATTCCAACTAGGAACTCAAATTTGAATCCATTACTTACAGATGGTCGATAGTAGTTGACTGTGGAATTTGTATTTCCTCTGCCCCATCAATCGGTTCGAAATCGTCGTGATTGTTCGACATCTAAAAAATTTCAAATTTTCAAATTTTCAAAAAGTTACGAAATCGCGAAAAGATAATCAGATTTATCAGGAGATTATCCTGCGTCTACTAATCGTCTATGGCTTCTTTTCCTTTTTCTAATTTTTGGAGTTTTCGGAAAAGTTCGACACAATAGTACGCTCCATTGCACACGTAAAAGTGGGAGTAGGATGGACTGATGCACGGAATGTATAATTAGGCATCCGGGAGAAAAAGTAGAAGTAGAAGAAGAAGCAAAACGAAAGAAGAAGCACAAAAAAAAGAAGAAGCAAGAAAATAATAGCGACATGTATTCGTTTTTCTTCTCCTTCTTTTCCAGATATCCGTAAGAAATGAGAAGTAGAAGAAGAGGAAGAAAAAGAAGCCAAGAAGCCCGCCATAAATTAGACAACAAAACAGTGAGGTCTCTGGCAGATTGAGTCAAAAGAAAAAGGAAAGGAGCACAAGGTTATCCTCACGAAGACGCTCTGCCGACTGAATTGGTGATCACTTTACTGGGTGGAGGAAAAAAGAAAAAAGAAGCAAAAAGGATACATTCATTTCAGGGCGGCCGGATTAGAGATGCTGCTGGCGAGATGACACGACTTATTTTCACTTTTGCAACCAATTTAAGAAGATACGAATGATATCTTTGAACTTTATAAGCTCTCATTTCATAGGGTTTTGATTGATACCAGTCACCGGAAACATGTATGTCACCAATTGTTCCTTTCTGTTCCCATAAGAATACATAGGTCATTGACACATGTCATGAATTCTTGATTAGTAAAAAAATTATATGTATCCGGATGGTTTATAGTCGAAAAAAATCTTTTTATCGAAGGTTTTGCATTTCTATCAATCTGTGAGTGATAAAGTGACCCCCACTTTACTTCGAAACTGCGACACTTCGAAACCAGTCAATTCGAAACAAGTCATTTTAAAAGATAGTACATGGAAAATGGATGGGTTTCAGACTGCAAAAACACTTTCAGGGTTTTCAAATAGGCTTTTTCTGATAAAACACATATTCTAAAATCCGGAAAAAATCCAACGTTCAATTTTAATGAAAGTTTTCTAGAATTTTTATATTTTCAAAATGAGTGAAAAAACATATTTGAAAACCTTAAAACTGCTCTTGTGGTCTGAAATTTATCCACTCGCCTGTATTACTACGGTTTCGAAGTGTCGCAGTTTGGAAGTGACGCGAAGCAGATAACAAAGAGTTGCCAAAGTATTTTGTGTTCTTCAAAACTTACTGTATTTTAAGTAGTTTTTGAGCAATTTCGAAAATTCAAGATTTTTCAGAATGCGCCTTTAACCTCGAAAATTCATAATTCAGCACAACATATCGTCATTTGAACTGTCGGGACGAAAAAATCACAAACATCTGAGTTTTCTAGTTTTGTGAAAATTTGAAAAAAGGTACGGTACTTTTTGTGAGTTTTCAAGAAGTTCTAGAATTTTGAAATCTTCCGTATCTCTTTACTAATTTTTGTGTGAGATCAAAAAATTCAAACGTTTGTGAAAATCAGCTCGTTTAGAGCTTCAAAACGAGTCTAAACATAGTCACTTTTCCACAAAATTTGATTTTTAAAGAGGTTTTTTCACCATTAGGCACTGATTACGATTAATTTAATTTTTTTTTAAATTTTTGTAAAGAATGCGATGAGTATGAGCTGACTGACAGACAAACACAACTTGGATATCACCAGTTTCTAATCTTTCGAAAAATAATTAGTATTCCAATAATCAGCTCCGAGACAGACAGAGCACGTGGTCCAAGGAATGTATACGTTTAGCTTCTAAAGTCTGGCTGCTACTCGGATGCTCAAAACAACGAGTGTCTAGGTTTGAAGAATAAATGAACTCTCTTCCCCCTCCTTCAAATGATATATCGTCAAGAAGTATATTCTTGAGACCAATGTTCACAACCATGGATGCATTTTACCAGCATATCAGAGATCAAGATCCCAAAATAAGTGTCAGCAGATTGGTTTTCAAAAATATTTCCTACGGTCAGCTACTGACTAATTAAAAGTATACACAAAATCCTATTTCTTTTTGGTTCATTTTAAAAGAGTGGAAGAGAAAGAGGAAGAAGACGGCGAAGAAGGTAAAATAGTAAATCCATAAAATCCTTTCTTCTCTATCAAACCCTACTTGAATAGAGGCTATAAAAGAGAAAAATCTTTTCTCGAACTCAGACTTTATGAGGAAACAGAAAACAGAAAACGAAAACAACCCAAAAATAAAATAGGAACCTGAAGAAAGTTGTGGGAGCAATGGGCACCGAAAAATGGGGGGGGGGAGGGAGGGAGGGAGAGAGAGAGAGAGAGAGAGAGAGAGAGAGAGAGAGAGAGAGAGAGAGAGAGAGAGAGAGAGAGAGAGAGAGAGAGAGAGAGAGAGAGAGAGAGAGAGCGAGAGAGAGAGAGAGAGAGAGAGAGAGAGAGAGAGAGAGAGAGAGAGAGAGAGAGAGAGAGAGAGAGAGAGAGAGAGAGAGAGAGAGAGAGAGAGAGAGAGAGAGAGAGAGAGAGAGAGAGAGAGAGAGAGAGAGAGAGAGAGAGAGAGAGAGAGGGATACTATGTGAAAAGTGAAATTTTGAAAGAACTTCATGAGCAAAAGAAGGGTCGACAAGTCGACTAATGGAGCGTGAATCCGAAAAAAAATGATGACAATGACACTTTGTTTTTGTGTGGTGACAAAACGCCCAAAAGACAATAACTATTTGAGGAATGGGATAGTTTTTAGAGGGGGAGAAGTGAGCTTGAAAGGGTTTGCCGTTTCAGATGAGGGAGAGAAATGATGTCAGACTACGAATTTCAAATTTCAAAGTGATTTAAACGAGAAATTTCCAGAGACAAATGGGGTACCGAATACAAAAAATGAGGAAGCTATGGAACAAGCGACCAAATTTAATTTTTTTTGAAACCCAAATAAATCAAGACAATTTCCAGGACATGTCCTAAGAAAAATTCCCCATTTTTTATGAGTTTCCGTGTACAGCAAGGAAATTTTCTTCTGGATTCTCACGATTTGTTCTAGAAATTCTCATGGAATACGGAAATTATGCCAGTCGATTGGTCTTTGAACTTACTCGGGCTCTTTTGAAAATGAGGAAAATATGAAAAGTTTGTATTGGATAAAACAAGTACATGTCGGGATCTCTCAACTGACCAATCGACTAATAATGAAATGTACAAACCATCGTATATGTTTTTATATTTTTGTCCACTTTCTGATTGTCTCATATGATCATTCAATAGACTTTTTCTGCTCTTAGAAAGGATTTTATAATCCCTCGGAAGTTGTTGTTCAAAAAAAAACAGACTTTGAAAAATATACGATTTCATAAATTGAGTTCAGGTTACCAATTGATATATCAAAACTTTGAAAGAAAAGGATAAGGTTAATATCTTCTTCTGGCTTCAAATATCAAAACATTTTCCGTTTTGGCATTGTACTCCCGTCCCGTCGTGTCTTCGTGTTTTTCCATTTCCCGCCTCAAACGGCGCCTCCGCGGCCTACAATTTCCTGCTCATTCCTCATTTCCTGGAATGAGAGAGAGAGGGGGAGAGATAGAGAGACTGAAAAAAATAATATGGAAAGAAAAGAGAAAACGGGGGTGGATCCGTGGTAAGATCTTGAGATGAGTTTCAGGATATGCAAAGTGATTTGTAGACAGGCATCCGAAATCTGGAATGTTTGCACGAGAATAATTGGTCTGTCTCGCAGCGCGGAGCAATAGTTTTGCAAGATGGAGCAAGAAGGAGTTTGGCATACATCACGGTGTGTCAGGAAGCCTGGCCGGAAAACGCGCCCCGGCGAACTCGTAGGCCAAAAGAAATTTTATAATTTTGAAGTGGACGCAGATTTGATCTATTTATTATAAATAGATCAAATCAATGCGCGCTTTTTCTTTCGCTCATCGTTCAAAACTTTGATCCTCAGCCAGCGAGACTCGGCAGCGAATTCAGCGAGATTTTGGGGTTCGCTGGGGTTTTTCGACCAGGCTTCCTGACACAGCATGATACATCCTAAAATATTTTCAGGTGACATAAAAATATATCAGAATGATGAACAATATGATAAGCCTTGAAGGATTATCTAAGAACTTGAAACATTGGTAATGCGCATTAAACAGACACATCTCGAAGGTTTGATAGGATCAGAATTTTGCCTTTTTTTGGGAAAAATCTTCTGAAATCGTTAAACAACTGCATGAAACAAAAACTATGAGATACCGTAATACGCGTATTAGAAAGGCTCCTGAAATTGAAGAGTCTGTCTGATAGAAGTGCCTTCTTCAGCGGAAATACGAAACGATCAAGTGTACCATCAGGCTGAAGGTTTCCTCTAATTGAAGTGCCCCGTACAGAAAATCAGAAGACCAGACCCTTCTGAAGCAGTTATTACGGTATGTGTAATTAGATGAAGCTAAGACCCGAAAAAAACAAAGAAACGACAAGCTTACCTTTCACAAGTTAGAATCCTTGAATCGTCTATTTTTCCTCTGAAAGGGAAAGTAATTCACTAACACTTTTTCAGTTTTGTCACATCTGAAAATTTCATTTTTGGTCAAATCATTATTTTTATCCACCTCCATATACCGTTTTTGTTCTAATACAACCGAAACTGTTAACTTTGAGCTCAATTATCTCGATTCCTGTGTAAGATATCTAAAAGTAGTCAACTGACAAAGTATTTTTGATATTATGATAAACATTTTGTCAGTTGACAAAATTTTGATATCTTTTACAGAAAATGAGCTGCGCCTGCTCAAACCTGACGGTTAATGTGACACTCTCTTACGGTTTGTCAGGAATCATGTACAAAAATCTTATGTATCCTTACTTTTATAATCAAACTAGAACAAGTCTATCCAACCCGTTTCGAGGGAGAATAACTTCTTTATTTTCCTCTCTTCTACTATCGCATCATTAAGCTTGTCCTACTTTCTTACTGTTGCGCAGTTTGTTGTTGTTGAATTCTTTCTCAGTGTCCATTCTCGAATGATGCTACTCGAAAAACGTTTCGAAAGTGTTCACAAGAAGAAACAAGGTTCATTTGTAAGTTTTTCTTCTGTCTGAAATGAATTCAATGTCTTGAAATTCCAGGAACTTTTCCAATTGAATACCACATTGTTGTTCTGGGTTGGATTCGTTCCTCCGCTATTCGCAGCCATATTCGCTATTCTCACTGCGATTACTTTACATCAAGATAAAATTACAAACTATTCTTGGATTTGTGGGGTAGGCAAATAGATTTTGAATCGCTTCTGTTTTCAAACTTTTGTATTCCAGCGAGCCTTTCTCCCATCTCTATCCCGAATCATCAACCTCACTCTAGAAGGACTTGTCTGGCAACTTTGCATTCTATTTCATATTCCATTTCGTCTTCTTGAGTTGTCAGTTGGCTGTGAGTTTGCTATAAAACGACATCAAACCAAAAAAAATTGTTCAAGGGGTCCGATATGGACGTCTGGAAAGCAAAAGCAACAAAAAACGTTTCTGGTATAAAATGCATAGGCATCTGTATCTTGTTTTCGGTGTCACTGAACTTTTTCTTCTCAGTGGATTGTCAGCGATTGGAGAAAAGGAACATGGAAGTGAGATTCTGAGAAAGGTCGTATACAATTTTATCCTGCTTTTTTTCCAGTTTGGCATATTTGCTTTTTCTACAGTTTTGGAGTTGTCGCACTACTTTTCTTCATTTCTAACACAGTTTGCCATTCTCAATCTTTGTACTTTCTGAATCCCTACGTAAGAAGGACAAATGCCAAAACTCACTAGGGAGCTATCTGC